CCCCGCGCGCCGCCGCGATCCTCGGCGGGGCTTCCCCGCTCCTCCCCACCTCCGCCCACCAGAGGGCGGCCGCGGCCCGGTACAGGACTAGTCCCGCGCCGCAGCCCCAGCAGCCGCACCGGGTGGGTTCGGGAGGCCCTTGGAGCGCTCCGGCCTGGGACGCGCGGTGAGAGCTGCGGGCCCCGAGGCTCGGGTCTGGGCGGTGCGGCGGGGGCAAGGGGCGCTGCTGGAGGGACGGGAAGGCGTGGACCGGGGCTAGGGGCTCAGCCCAAGAGAACCCCCTTCTCAGCCCAGCCCAAGCCGCTGCCCCCTTCCCCGATTAACTGCACCTTCTCCCTTGCCAGGGGACTCCCTTCTTTCCAGTGTCGGGGCCGGGCTAGAGCTGGCATCCGAATAGCGACTCTCAAAGCAGCTGGGGCAGCAGGGGCCGCCCCCCGGCAGAGCATAACGTCCCCCGCTCAAGGGCCCGGCGCAGTCCTGGCAGCAGAAGTGGTTCTGGTGCCAGCGCCGTCCCTCCGCCTCGGTGCAGCGCGAGGAGAAGATCAGCTGGGAGAGGGAGAGGGGAAAGGTCACTCACCCATTCATTCATTCATTCACTCTCTCACTCAGCGGCCGCGTCAGATACCCAGTTAACCCCTACAGCACGACTACAGACATTCCCCTTGGATGTGCTCAACCGCTCTCCACGCAGGGAGGGCTGATTGGCTTAGCTAGGATCCCCCAGCTAGCAGGTGGCACCCCCGGAAGTGCGACGGAGTGGCCCGGACTCCCATGCCCAGGGTTCTGCACTGTTTCTTCCGCTGCCAGGAAATTTCCCCCAGGATCAGGCATAGCACAGGGCACCCCGCATACTGAGATGAACGTCCAAGAGGCCCTGTTCCAGAGAATTCTTTCATCCCAAGAATATTTGAGAGCACTCTGCTGGGGTGGGGGTGAACACAGAGGCAACAGCTCCACTTGTCCATGTCCAGAGCTTGAGTCGGAGCACAAGGACCACGATGGTGTCTGGCCAGTTCCTAGTTCTCCCTATCTAACTATCAGTACTAGGAGAAGGGGCCCCCAGTGGGGGAACCCTTATATCCTGGGGCCCTGGGCAGACCCGTTCTCACCTGCCCCCTTCTCTGAGGTCATACCTGGTCACAAGCTGGGCAGCGAGGTCGCAGCAGCTCTGCGTGATGACGGCCACAGTAGAGACGCCCGTCGTGGTAGAAGTAGATGAGCTTTATCAGGGCCTGGCCACATGCCTGGCAAGCAAAGCAAGCCCGGTGCCAGCAGCACTGCTCTCCTGCCCGTGCTGCGAACACTCCGTACTCCCCTGGCCTCAGCCGCTCCTTACACTGCCAAGTGGTGGTGCTAGGCTGGTCAGAGGGGGCACCACCCTCCTAGGTCCCCTCCTGGCTCTTTCCAACCCCAACCTAACTGTTCTCCCCATAACCCTGGTAAGCCCACCTCTCCTCAGTTTCAGTCTATCCTGCAGTCTTCCAAGTTATCAGTCCCCGAATCCCTTTTTTCCTACCTGAGTCCCAGAACCAAGCCCCTTCCGCAGGGCAAAGGGTAGAGGAAGAGGGGGTGGGGGAGCCCAGGCTTTAAATACCTTCTCACAGGTGTGTTCTTCCAGCTTGGGAGTTACAAGACGGGCCACCCCTTGTCCCAGGGCCTCCTGCCTCCTCTGGGCACAGAAGAGCCGCAGCTCTGCCAGTTCCTCCTCCCCAAGGGCCAGGCAGTAGCGCACCTGCAGAAACAGGCCTCCGCTGTGACTGGGAGCCCCCACCCCAACCCAGCAGACAAGATTTAAGTTTAAGTGGAGAGGAAGGCTTAGGTGCTGGGTCCAAGGAGGGTTGCAGAACCATGGGGAGGTGCAGGAGATACTGCACAGAGGGCCACCAAGAAGGCGAGGGAAAGAGGGGAAGCCGAAAGCCCACCTGTCTGTCACTTCTCCCCAGGGCGGTCCTGCTCAGTGGCCGCACCTGGCCTGCTCGCCAGGGCCCGGCTCCCGGTGAGCTCAGTACCACTCCCCACTGTGTCTGCCCTGCTTCTTCCACATTCTCCTGTCTTGCCTCCCCACTTGAACTGTAAGCCTTTCAGCTGGCACACCTCGGGCCTCAATAAATACTAACAACCATATTCTTTTGTACATTCCATTATCAACTTCAAAAGCCGTCCATGTCCATTTGCTCATTTGTTCCTCAACCAGGCCGTGTGGTGGGCAGAGCTGGTAGTGCACCTGTCGTTACATGAGAAAGCCGGGAAGGGAGGCAGGCTTCTCTCAGTCAGCGGTGTAGACCCCCCGCCCCCAGTCTCCTGGTTCGAGGTTCTTCCCAAAGAAGTAGGTAGGAGATAAGAGAGAAGCTGCAAAGAAGGGGACCCACATCACTGTCCTGTGGAGGGAGCTGCTGCAGGAGGGCCCGAAGCCCAGGCCAGCTGGGGGCTTGGTCGGTGTCCAGGCCAGGGAGTCCCAAGCTCATAACTCCAGTATCCTAAAGGAGACACAGAACGGAGCTCAGTTTCTCCTACCTTCCTCTCCCCTTTTGTCATCCTCATGGCTGCTTCTCCTCTAGTCTGGAAAAACTCCCAGGCACCCCCATCCTTTGGGGGGATTCTCCTTCCAGATCAGAAGGACAGTTGATCCACTCTAGCGTTTGCAGACTGATTGAGGATGAGAAGGCCCCAAACCCCTCACCCCCCTCACAAACAGCTTCCCTTCTTGAAGTCATCCCCTTCTGGCTCCAGGGTTTCTGAATCGCAAGCTCTGGGGTCTCCTGAAACTGGGGGGTGGAGAGAAGAGGAAGCCCACTGTGGGAGCAGAGAGCACGTTGCTTTCCAGTGAGCTTTCTTCCACCTCCCCAGCCTGCATCCTACTGCTTCTCTGGGTCTGCCCTGACAACACAGGCCCCCTAGGAGAGTGAACAGGTTGAAAGCTGCGTCCTGAGGAAGTTGCAGACGTGCAGGGATTCCTGCAAGGAGAAACAGGGCCACAAGAGGATGAACGCAAAGGCTAACTGACCTCCCAGGTGAAAGTGGGCAGAGGGCCAAAGGGGAGAGCAGGACTCCCACCACCCGAGCACAGGGCAGCTCCGAGGCCTCCACTGGCAAGTGACCGCGGTCATTATCTGAGTCGGCTGATGTGCCTGGCTCTCAGGGACCGAGGTCCTCCCCTCCGTGGGGCCAGCCAGAGTTCAGCACCGATAGTGGTAGCAAAGTCTGCCTAGAGAACAGTAAGAACACCTCCCACTTACTGGGCCCTTCCAGTATGCTAGGGAGCACTCAGTGCCTCACAGGCATTTGTCTTGCTCAGTCCTCCTGATAAACATGTGAGTGGGTGGTATCCTTGTTCCCATGTAACAGACAAGGCCCCGTGAGCATGAATGATATGCCCAAGTCCAGACTGCTAGTAAGCGGCAGAGCTAGGTCTTGAGGCTAGACCTTCCAGAACCAGGATTTCTAGAGCTCAAAACTCTGGGGTCTCCCAAAATTGAGATGGAGGAAAGAGGAAGCCCACCGTGGAAGGAGAGGCCTTTCCCCACCTCCCCGGCCTTAACACTACCATCTGTTATTGTGCACTCAGCACTGAGTGAGCCTGCTTCCTCCCCACACATCCCACTACACCCCACTTCCAGCTGTAGACCTGGGCCAGGCTGAAGGATCACTGTACTAGAAAGTCCTTCTTTGTCTTTCCAGCCCATACCAAGAAGCCTTTCCCTGATCTCCAGAAGTGAGTACATCAGGTGCCCCAACATTCAGGCCCTAATGTTTCCCTTTGCTCCCAGCTCCTCAGCTAGTGTACAAATGCAAAGACGAAGGAAAATCTTGCGCATCATATTCTAGCAGCAGTTTCATTTGATAACTAAGCACATACCAGTGCCCTCCTCTGGGCCGTGGTAAGACCACACTATGTTGGGGGTGCGTGAGAATGACCACTGAAGTTGAAAAGGAACAGGCCCTGACCTCGAGAAGTTCACTCGTGGTCTAGTGAGTAAGACAGACATGAAACCAGCAGACACAGGCCAGAGCGCTGGGCATACATACACAGCAAATTGAGCAAACTTTCCTATGTTTACTCTGCCAGGCATTATTTCAGCATTTAGCTCGATGTAATCCATCCTTATAACAATCTTATGAAATAGTTTCATTATCCCATTTTACAGGTGAGACAAACAGATCATATTGGAAGCTAAGGAAGGTTACGGCCGTTCCCTTTGAAAGCTGGGATGGGTTCTGCCAGCAGCTGGACACCAGAGGGCCATCGCTAAATCCCTGGCTGCTATCAGACCTGGCTTTGGGGCTGGGAACTGGGTTTGGATCATTAACCGTCATAGTGCTCTTCCCAGCCCTGAGCTCCCCTTTGCAACCTTTTCAGATGTCCTGTGCCACTTCTTCCTGGCTCCACACCCACCCGCTTCCTTCCTGTTCTGTCCCTCAGATCAGGTTTCCTGTGGAAGACAGCCATGATAGGCTTGGCTTGCTCGCATTCAGGCCAAGAGTAGCCACTTTCTCTAGTAGCCCTGCCTCTGCTCTGAGGAGTAAGAGGTACTAGGGAGGGGCTGGGCACAAGAAAGGGGCACCTCTGGGGCCCTGGGAAAGGACTTGCACCCTCTGTTGGTTAGTTCTAGTTAGCAAGAAATTGCAAACGACAGAGAAGTAACACTCAGAAATCACCCCTAACCTTCATGCCTCCATCCATGCCCTCCCTGGCCTCCTCAGGGTGTCTTAACTACACCTCCACCTAGCATTGGATTCCACCTTATTAACAAGCTGGATTTTTTTCTGGGATTCCCCTACCCTGAACCCCCCTCTCCCAGACCCCATCTAGATGCAAGGAAGCTCAGGAGCTCTTCCTCCCCAAACCACTCTGCCCGGGCCCACCCTAGAGAGTGCAGAGGCAGTGGCAAGGGAGGGTTTCCCAGGACAGTGAGGTGGAGAAGCGAAGGACAAGTGTCCGGTCCTGCCAAATGGCCTCTCCTCAGATCCCAAAGTTTTTCTTAGACTTCTCAAGGCCAACCTCAGATGCTGGTCGTGGCGTGGCTCCCAAGCTCCCTGGAGTGCTCAGCTTGGCGGTTGAAGTTTAGGGGAGGCTGCGGGCGGTGGGGGATGTCTCACCCTCCTTGTGCACCCAGTGTCCGGGAGTTTCTGGACAGAGCTGTCGGCCCCTCACTCAGTCCCCGCCAGAGGCCTCAGCTCCCGCTCTGCCCGCCCCGGAGCACAGCCCTTCCTGTCCCATGCCCCTCGCGGTCCTGGCCCATCCCACCCCTTCAAGCCTGGTAGAGCAGGACGGCTCGGGGAGGGGCCTGAACCTGCAGACCCGAGAACAGCATTTGTGGGTCCCTGGGGTGGAGAGTGTACAAGCTCCACTGTCCCCCAGCCACATGGTTTGTGCGCCAGGGCTGCGTCCCCACCCCGCCCCCCACCCCTCAGGCGGGAGAGGCGATTATGCGGGTCCTCAGCTACTGGCAGAACGCAACGCCTTCCGAAGCCAGCAGATCCGCCACCCCACTGGTATCCCAACTCTGCCCCGGGGTGCCCCTGCAGTCCCGCTCGCCCCCTCCCCATTTCTCAGCCCCCTTCCCCGGCCCTCCGTCAGACCCTTCTCGCAGCTGCGTCCCCACACTCCCTGTTCCCGCCCCATCTCCGCGTCCCTGCCCACCCCAGACCCCTTTCAGATCCCGGGGGTCTGACCTCCGGCGCTGTCAGTCCCACCCTGAGGCCCGCCCCCGCCCCGGCTCCGCCAAACTCGCTCAGCAGCGGGTCGGGAGCGCCCTCTGCTGTCTGCGCATGCTCCTTGCTCCCGACTGCAAAGTCCTCCAAGGGGACCTTCTAGGCTGCGCGCCGGTCGCCCCCGATCGGGTCCGCCCGCCCGCAGCGTCTCGTTGGTGCTGCCGGTGACCTCCGACCTCGCGGCCGCGGGGCGGGGCGCTGCGGGGACCAGGAGTGAGGTCCTCCCCGCCCGCGGTGCCGCGCACCCGCTTTGTTTTCAGCGCGAGTTCGACGAGCGTCGCCCCGTCTTTATCCAGCGGGCGGCCGGGGGGCCGTGGTGCGGGACCCCCGAGAGCCCTTCGCAGCCTCC